TAGCTAGAGAGGTTCATGGCCAAAAAAATATACAAAAACTTGAACGAAACTAGTTAGAGCAACGTGAGCTTCCTGTTACATATGGGAGAACCATATGGTCAAAAGGTTGCCACACCCGTGTATGAGTCGAGACAGTTTAGGTCAAGCACATTATCATGGTAAAGATGCTTCGTCCGCGGAATTCAGATGCCTAGCGATGGAACGCTTGTTGGATCTCCATGTTTCACGTGTAGAGATAGCTTTGGATAATGAATATGTGGTTGAAGCACTGTTACATCCTAGAGAATGGCAGAGATATCGTGACTTGCTGGACAAGATACAAGGTTTGAGGAATAGATACAATTTTATTTTGTTTCTGTTTTTTTTCTAAACTTTGTACATTACTCTGTTACTTGTTACTCTGTTTTTGATATTGAATGAAGTTGGTAGAAAAAAGTTGATTAGCGTGAACGCAGGCTTAGTAGGTCATTTAATTTAGATGAGGGTTTGGAATGTAAAAACCATAGCAAAAGGTCTTAATTTACGCGCTAACTCTTTTAAAAGCCTAATCGTAGATAGTTAACCCTAATTTCCTTTTCACAGGCCTCTAATGCAACTTGGGAAGATCATGATCTCTAAAGAAGTTGAAGCAACGCAGAAAACGATTTCTGAGCGACCGTCGTTTTCTTCACTACCAGACGAAATCAGTGAGAACATTCTTGCACGTGTCTCGAGATGGAATTATCCGTCGATCTCCCTCGTCTCAAAGAGATTCCGATCTCTTTTATCTTCTATGGATATCTATAAGACGCGATCTCAAATCGGAGCCAAAGAAACATGTGTCTATGTCTGCTTAGAGTTTCCCAATCAACCACGTCCGAGCTGGTTTAGTCTTTGGTCGAAACCTAATCAAACAAGACGAGGGAAGATTAGGTTTAAGCAGAATTCAAGTGGAAATGCGGTTGTTCCGATATCTTTCTCTTCTTCTTCCCATTATCCTCTCATCCCAAGTGACAATTGCATCGTATCGGTTGGTTTGGAAATCTACCTGATCGGTGGATCCTACAAGGAGTCGTCTACCTCTGTTTGGATCCTTGATTGTCGGAATCAAACTTGGCGTGAAGCCCCTAACATGACCGTGTGGCTCGGGAGAATGCAAATGCGGTATTACTCGATGAGAAAATATATGTATTGGGAGGTTGCGAGATTGACGAGTACCCTGCTAATTGGATTGAGGTCTTTGACATAAAGACTCAGTCTTGGACAGCCTTGCCTGGTCCTGGCGATGATGATGAAGAGTTACGAGATCAGTTACGCCGCGAATATTGTTATACATTCAATGCGTTTGTGGGAAAGATTTACGTAGCGGCAGCTGAAAAGGACTACACTTACGAGCCGAAAGATGGTACATGGAAAGTTATCAACGAGCAATCAAGTTTCCTATCAGTAAAGAGGTGGTGTTGGATAGAGGATGTAGTGTACGGGTTACACTTACACCGGGTATTTAATGTGGTGTGAGGGTAGGGAGTGGAGAGAGATCAAGGGTTTGGAAAAATTGCTTGAGCACCGTACAAGGGATTTAAGAATTGGGAGTTTACTTGACATAGATGATTATGGTGGTAAACTTTTAGTTATGTGGGATCCTTTTATTCCAAATTGTAGGACTTTTGGTATCAAACAGGAAAACAAAATTTGGTATGCCATGATTTCTTTAGAATCAAGATGCAATGTTAATGAGGTTTGGGGAAACGTTGAGTGTGTCGATGTGCTTACATTTCCTGGCGAATCATATGAACAGTTGCGTTGTTTAATTGCTTCGGCTTGATGGCCCTTAGTCATAGAGATAGTATGATATGTCTATGATATTACTTTGTTTAATGATCTTTCATTTCAAGAATTGAGGATCTTTCTCTCTCTTGGACTTTTTGACGGTTGTTAAAAGACCATCTCCATCAAGGGGTTCTAAAGTATTAGAAAAGTTCTCAAAATAATAGTTAAATATTAGAAAGGTTCTCAAAAGAGGAGAGATGATGTCTAAGGTATCTCATTTGAGAACCCTCTCTCCTCTATTGAGAACCTCTCCTCATATTTTATTTATATTTTGTTTTATATAATTTTTTTGAGAATCCTTCTAAGAACCTTAGATCGAGATGCTCAAAAGGCTTTAGCCTCTTGTCCAACGTTTTCTTTCTTACAAAACAGGTAATATATGGATCAACTATCTAATTCTGGTTGGACAGTTGAACCTCCATGGGGTCGTTACTCTCTGTTTTTGGGCAAACTTGTTCTTCATTGCTTGGTGTTCCTTAAGATCAAAGCTTTCTGACGTTTATCACAATGCCAGAACAGATTAACAACTCTTTCTCTACGATGAACTTCGGGACAGAATGATTATTTGGGGTCTCCTTGTTGATATGTTATGTCTCCTTTGCCGACCACACAATGCGTCGAGGAATCACCTCTTCTTCGACTGTCCCTTTTCGTCGTTAATTCCCCTACCCCAAGTGAATGGCAAGCTTCCCTAGACTGTATTTCGAGACCTGAAATATCGAAAATATAGAAGGTACCTTCTTACTCTTGTGTTGGCATGCTTCAATCTACGAGTTGTGGCGTGAGAGAAACGTACAATAGGAATCATTACGCTCTGTTTCTCAAATTCTCAAAATTCTGGACCAAATGATTCCTCGTTCCAATATCACAAACCGAGACTTACTTCGATTCTACTCCAAACTGGTTTGCTCGAATCTCCGTTAACGGTGCTCTCCTTATCATGGATATGGTTTTAATTGTTTTTTTAACCTTTTTTGTTTTCTTTTGTAAGGCTCCCGTCAAGTAATGTATCCTGTTTTAGTTTAATAGAAAAACGTTTATCAAAAAAAATAATTGACGATCCTTTCCTAATCCTCTTATTGAAGTTTGTCAACTTTTAACAATTTCCTCTTTTTTATTCACGCAGGTACAGTAGTAGGTAAACTTGAAGTTTCGATGCAACAACAAGATGTTATTTGTAACAAGTAGTTTAGTTGATTGATTAATTGGTCACATTTTATTCATGAACTGGGTTGGATTGGTATTAGTCTGAATACAGCAAAATAATTCTATTAGTTTGGTCAAAACAATTTCAGTTTTTATGCCCTATGATTTTGTATCAACAAAATCTACAAGTTTTAGTAAATTCTAATAAATATATCTTTGAACATTTATGATTTGTTTTGTTTCTAAAAAATTCCTTAGAACGAATCTACCTATATTTAGGAAACAAAATATAGAGTCTACTATAACTTCCAGATCTCCAAAATATTCCATTTCAAAATAAGGGAAACATGTTAATAGATTACTTTTTTTTTTTTTGATCAAAATTAATAAATTACTTTAATGCTAATTCTATTGACCAAATCATTTCTATATAATTAAAACCCCATTTCATTTTTCTTTCCTCCACTACTCTTTTCTTTCGCCTACAATGATGATCCCCGAAGAAGAAGTTGAGCCGCCGCAGAAAACACCGAAGCTTTCGCCGCCGTTACCACCGCCGTTTCATCATCAACCGTGTCTCTCGTTTTCTTCACTTCCAGACGAAATCGCTGTGAATTGCTTCGCACGCATCTCAAAGTTTTATTACCCTAAACTATCCCTCGTCTCCAAAACCTTTCGTTCTCTCATCTCTTCTCCAGATCTCTACGCCGCGAGATCTCAGACCGGAACCACCGAGATCTGTCTCTACATCTGTCTGAAATTTTCCACCGTGCTCTTCACGGAGCCAACTCGACGCTGGTTTAGTCTCCGTGTCAAACCTAATCGAAACCAACGAAACCTAATGGATGGTAGGGATATAGAGAGATCAAGTGGAAATCTCTTTGTACCTTTCTCCAAATCTCCTCCATATTCAACTTCGACCGTGACCATTGGTTCGGAGATCTACTTGTTCGGTGGACCTATTGACAATAACTTTGAACTGTCTTCAGCTGTTCGGGTGTATGATTGTCGGAGTCACACGTGGCGTGATCTTCCTAACATGAAGATGGAGAGGACACGTGCGTCTGCATGTGTCCTCGATGACAAGATTTATGTAATGGGAGGATGTAGAGCTTGGTTCGAGGACGAGAGATGGTTTGAGATGTTCGACATAAAGACTCAGACTTGGAAAACCTTACCGGCGAATCCTGAACGAAAGGTACGATTGGGTTATAGGGTTTGCAAAATCGGTGCGGTGGAAGGGAAAATTTACGTGAAGACTACTGATAGTGAGCTTCAAGATTGGGTTTATGATGTGAAGGAAAGTAGATGGAGTGTTGCAGATCGGAATTTGAGTGTAAGATGGTCGAATTCTTGGTGCGTGATAGATAATGTGATGTATTCTTACTCTTTATGTAGATATATGTGGTATGATTTAGAGAATAATACGTGGAGAGATGTGAAAGGTTTGGAAGTATTGAGAAAGTACCGTAGTTTTAGTAGTGATCGTAGTTGTATGGTTGAATTAGTTAACTATGGTGGGAAACTCGCAATTCTTTGGGATAGGTTTGAGCGGCGTGGTCGTAGTCAGAACAAGAATATTTGGTGTGCGGTAGTTGCGCTGAGAAGATGGCATGGAGGTGTGTTTTTGGAGAAGATTGAGTGGGTTGATGTTGTGCTTACGGTCCCCAAGTCATATAACTTCTTGCGTTGTCTAGCCATTTCGGTTTGATGGTTCGAAGGGTTCATCTTTAAAGACATGTGCATTGGTTTGTGTCGGCAATATCTTGAATGACTTTGGTAGTCATTGTTTCAATTTGCATTTTCCATCGTTTTGATAATAATGATAGATTGTGACCACCTCTAACATTTTGTTGGTTTAGTTTTGGTTATACAAACTCATTAGAGGCAAAGTGTCTACGTTCTTTCAAGATCTTCATCTAAATAATGTCAGTAGAAGAATTTAAGTAACATTTTGTTTTCACTTTGAAGTGAAGTGAGATTCACACAAAATTGACATCGAGGATTGTGTCTTTATAGAGGTTAACATTGTCGTACGAATTATATATATAATGTTGAAGTTAGTAGTTATGTATCTACTTAGGCTGGTTGTACAATCTATTTTGGATTAAAACAAAAATTATACCAGTCCACACTTTTTCACATTCTTGTCTGATTTACTTTTGATCAAAAAAAGTAATTGCATACCAAAATATTATTATTTCGATTTCTTTAGTCCACTCCAAAAATGAAACATACTCTACTAGTATGCAGTTTAGTGTACTAAAATGTTGATCCAACTGGTCTGATTTGGAATGAACTGAGTAACCATTCAAATCCTTAAGTTTACTTTATTTTCTAACTTATTATGAAGTTATTTCGTTCAATTCAGTTTGGTTTATGTGAGCTGGAATGCCAAATAAAATTAAAAAAAGTTGGTAACATAAGTTTAAACAAATTTATATGATATGAATTCTATGCGGGGCAATTTCACACTGGAAGCTGCCTTGGTATTTGCTTAGGGTTTCTCCTCGCTCGTTTCTTGCGTTGTCTTAGCTCCTAAGGTTGATGAGTCGTTATATTGTTATTGGGCAAGTTTGTTTAATCATTGTCACATGTTAGGCTTCCAACACTCACTCCGTTTCAAGAAACTAAATTTAATTTACATCTCAACTCTGGATCTATTCTTTGAGCAGAAGATACACATTCTTTAAATATAATTAGATTTAGCTCGCTAATACGTGGTTTCAAATAGCGTCTAAACGATGATAAAAAAGTTGTATATTGTCACAATTTTGTTTTTGTTTCTCACCTTTATGGAGGGAGTGGAAATCGCAGAGCACACTTGTGATCTATGAAGCACGGGTACTTTGTTTTGGTGCCGTCTCCCGTACTGGAAACGTCTCGGAGATGGGTACGGTTCGGAGACACCACCGAAACGTCTCCGAGATGTCTCTAACATGTTAGGGACGTCAACAATTAACGGGGACGAAACCTTTCGAATTTAGAGATGTTTCTCAAACGTATTATGTTAAAAAATTAGTGTTTCCGTTGTTTGTTATATATATTAATTATTATTTTTAAGAAAAAATGAAAATAAAATGTATAACATAAAAAAAAATTATTATGAAATAGGGTTTCAAATTTATTATACATCTCATACATAATCGACATTCGTTTTTTCAAATAGTCTCGATTCTTGACTCTTTACAAGTCAACAAGGTTTGTTTCTTCAAATTACGTTACTCCGATTTTTTTCTATCTCTAATACATCTTTTTCTTGTAATTTAAGCTATATTGTCAACGTCAAAATAAATCTAATTCTTATATTGATTGAGTGTTCTTTTATACTGAGATTTATGATGTAATTTTCT